CTTAAGAAGATCACGAGTTACATCATATATAGTGCAAATTCTTCAACAATTTTTTTTTTTTTTTTTTTGTAAAATAGGACTTGTAAATGAAAAAGAGGAGATTTTAGAGATAGGTCATTTTCATTGTAAATTTATGAGTAGCAAAGTTCTACTTCTGATTAATTACTCACTCTTTAGTCACATTTTCCTAGACAATTCCCATATAGTACTCTAAAGATGTCATGATCCAAGCACATGACATATATTGTCGACTTTAACCCAACAACCTAACAAATTTGTCTCTTGGGCGTGATAATATTTGTCACAACCCAAGCCCATGGTTTGTATTTTTAACTTTGAGCACATAGAACTCACGAGTTTGTACCTTGGGCTACACCATCATTGAGCCCAAAAACGTGTGTACCATGTGAACTTGTTTTATACCTTATAAAACTCATTATTTTCCTCTCTCATTCTGAAAGGAGTGTGTAAAGATTTCTAGTCATGCATTTGATCATACCAAATACCAAATATTAGTTTTAGCATTCAGAAAAAATAGTCAAAATATGAGAATGTTAAAGCTTCTGAATTCCAATTTGTAATAATGCATGCTTTCAGTTGCCAACATTATAAGAACTACAAAGCATCAATATTACATAAACTAAATTTAGGACAGGAAACAAATTATTCTTGTATTTATCAAAAATATATAGTTAGTTACATCCACTACTTCAGAATTACTAATTGTCTTACTAAGTTTAATACAATGGAATTTTATCATAAAATAATCTCTATATGCTATGAAAAACAGAAGCTCGACACATGGGACAATCTTTTTTCCTCAGCAACCATTGTTTGATGCGGCCTGTATGATATTCGTGTCCGCACCCAAGAATCCCAATGGACTCTTCATGCTCAAATTCCGCTTGACATATGGCTCAAATCTCTTTAGTTTCTGTCTGATTATTTATTCCTTCATCAACACGATGAATTCTTGTTTTAAAATACCCGAATAATATAGCATCCTCCTCTTGATCATCAATCAGTTCAGTTGCTGCTTGAGAATCATCTGGAGAATTTGGTGGTGATTGGTCATTCAAATTGTCTTGTACATCCTGTTCCATTAATTGATAGTTGCGTGGAGTAAATGTGTATTGCTTGCTTGTATAAATTGCAAATATTGATGATAATCTAGAGAAGAATGAGAGTTACTCATTGTTCAACACCAGATTTTCTAAATACGATTTTTTTTTCTTTTTTTGAAGCAACAGAGTATATATAGAATTGGGTATTCGTAGTTTGTTTTGGGTATTTCTCCTACTTTCTTTAGGAATACGATTTAAGTAAGGAGAAGAATTAGAGGGAATATAACTAATTTTTTTATTATTTTTTTTGTAAATAGAGGCTATTTAAATTATTAGTAAAAAAATATATCTATATATAAAATATATTTGTTGTAACTATCAACCAAGAATCTGATCATGTTTGCAACCTGAATATGAAAACCAGTGGATATATTAGCTACAAGTTTGATGCAAAAGGGGAGACACTTTTATCAATCCAAAGTATGAGGACAGACTCATATTAGACAAACGGCCCTCCTCTTTGCAGTCATAGAAGTTGGCATTATATGGCAATGACTCCTCAATTTTGCTTTTCAGACGCCATTCAAGGTTAAAAGGGTAGCTTCGTGTACAAAGCATCCCGCATTAGCAGGGTTGCACCTTAAGGGGAGGGTGTGATGTAGTCAGTCTACTAGTGATTGCTTCCACAACTCGAACCCATGACCTATAGGTCACACGGAGACAACTTCACCGTTGCTCCAACTTCCAAGGCTGCCCTTCGAGGGCCCACACACCATTCAAGGTTGACTTTGCAAATTCAAGTATAGCAGGCAAGTGGTGGAATCGTCACATAAAAGATTCTTAACGAAGCATGACTCCCTGCATCATACTCCTACTAAAATTTATTTTCCACGTCTCAATCAGGTTTCCCACGTCAAGCTACCTTTGGGTCTAGGACAGTTGAACTTTTTCCTGGGTTTTATTCATCTGATGAATGTCTATTTATCTGAATAGACATTCAACTGGGTTTGGACAGTTGAATGAACTTTTTCCAAAGGTTTTATTCATCAGATGAATGTCTATTTATCTGAAAACATTTGAATGTACATTAGGCAGACATCAGTTTCTGCAGCAATGCATTTATACTGCAAATTAAGAACATCAGAAATAAAACCCGTTTACCCGTTCCACATAGCTTTGCCTTTAACAAGTTCGCTAGTATGCTAGTGAGAATATGAATTTAAAATTCCAATTTCAGTGCGATTGCAATAAGATAAAAGGAATTGACTTGTCGATTTGGGGCCATCACACTACCAGTATACTTGATGTCTTCTGTTTCCACTTTGTAGTTTGTTAGAATCAGAAATAAGATCTAAGAACATATTCAATCCTACAACACAATTCAGTTTATACTCTATCATTTACTACAACGAATATATTCAACAACAACAACATACCCAATGTAATCCCACAAGTGAGTTCTGAGGACAGTAGAATGTACGCAAATCTTATCCTTAACTTTGTGGGGTAGAGAGGTTGTTTCCCGATAGGCCCATGGCTTGGCAGAAAAGAAAAGAAATCGAAGCATGGTAGCAAGAAATATGACAGCAAAACAACAAGATACAAATCAAGTGAAGCAACAGATAGTAATACGCATAGAAGAGAATGTAACAAAGTGCGACAACACTGAGTTACCTACTAACCTTGTAACGTAATCCTGACCTCCACACCTTTTAGGTAACAGATTCAAATTGTATCTAAATATTTAGTCCTATTTTAAGAACGTTTATCTCAACATCACCCATTTAAGTATTCTGTTTGACATTTTTTATGAAGACTCAATATAAACAATTCGTTGATTCTTTATTAATATAATGAGCAAGAATGTTTATATTTTTCTCCCTAAATTTTATTTTTAAATTTAATAAAGATACTCTATAAGGTGTTTGGTAGGATGGATAATAAGTTGGTTTCTGACTTATTTTCTCATATTTGGCTAGTAAGTGAAAAATATTTTCTAGTTTTTGGTTGATGTATGAAAAATATTTTTCATCTTTTATTCTTTTTGCTAGAGAATGGAAAATAATTTTTGATATGGAAACCAACCCCGATAATCGGTTCCGGACTCGACCCTAACGATCAATTTGGGATTTGACCCCAATCCCAACCCAGGAGCTGACCCCAACTCCCGACCAGGGACCTGACCCCGACATTCGATCCAGGAGGAGCTGACCAAAACTCTTAACCCGGAACCCAACTTTCTAAATGGAACACAATCTCGAACCCAACCCCGACATCTAATTCGGAACACGATCCCGACGATAAATCCAAAATACGGCCTCGAGAAACGACCTAACCCCAACTTTCGCCCGAATTCTGACATTCAAGCTACGACCCAACCTCGACATTTGATCTAGAACCTAATCCTCACTCTCGACCCGAGATGCAACATTCGAACTGGATTTGATCCCCACCTCGACATTCAATTAGGGAGATGACTCCGACGATCGATTGGAAACCGAACATCGAGACCAAACCCAAGACCTGATCCTGACTCTTGATTTGGGATCCGATCATGACCATGACACTCGAATCTGGACACGACCGACCAATCCAGAATTCGAACCCAACATCCGAATAGAGACCCAACTTTCTAATCATGCCTGACCCCAACACTCAATACTTAATTTCAACGGAAAATAAGCTAATTGACCAACATTATTAGAAATACAAGCATCAATATTACATAAACTAAATGTAGATGATATCGTAATTCGTGGTCTCTTAACAATATTTAGGACAGGAAACAAGTTGTTCTCGTATTTAACAAAAACATATATAGTGTTATATATCCACTACTTCAGAATAACTAACTGTCTTACTAAGTTTAATACAACGGAATTTCATAATAAAATAATATTTGAATACTATGCATATCAGGGCAAAACAAAAGCTCGACACATGGGACAATCTTTTTTACACAGCAACCATTGTTTGATGCAGCCTGTATGATATTCATGTCCACACCCAAGTGTCCCAATGGACTCTTCATGCTTAAATTTTGCTTGACATATGGCACAAGTCTCTTCGGTTTCTTTGGAATTTTTTACTCCATCTTTAGACACAACAACACGATGAATTCTTGTTTTAAAATACCCCAATAATATAGCATCCTCCTCCGTATAAGCCTCTTGATCATAGGGGAATGGCCTAGTACGAATATAGTGCAACGATTGCAGATTATATATAAAAGATTCAGGGTAACTCATTGTTCAACACGAGCAAATTCAACATAAACAATTTGGAGATTTTAGGTTTTTTCTTTAAAGAAATTTTATTTTTGAAGAACAGAGTATATATAGAATTGGGTATTCATAGTTTTTTTTTTTTATGGAAACTTAAGGTGGAAACAATACAAAGTTTCCTATTTTATTCATTTCTGCTATTTTCTTTAGGAATAGGATTTAAGGATTTAATTTCCCACTAAATTTGAGGGTATTCAAAAATAATTACAAAACAAAGTCAAAAAAGATGGAATAAAAAAGAGTTACTTTCAAATATATATAATAAAGTACATTTAGTTAACAATAAATATAGTCAAGTTTTATTTACTTAAAAATAGCCTAATATCTTAATAAATATACACCAATTATACAATATAGCTTGTCAAAAGTCATAGAAAATATATATTGACTTATACAATATAGCTTATCTATACATTATGATATACTCAAAAAGGTTAATGTAGTTTAACTATACGTGAAGATACACTGATTATACATGAAATATACACTCATGATCCAATCTCAATCAATTCAAAATCACCTCTAAACAATCCTAAATTTTAGTTATGAAATCTTCTCGATGTTTCAAGTCTTTTGATATATAATTCGTACGTTGAAATTTTTTGAATAGTGACATTATAACTTGTGTTTCCATAACCAAGAAAAAGGACAATTGCTAAATGGACTTTCATTCACTATTTAACACTCAAGTCATTGTAGTTCCAGTTTGAATACAAAGGATCAAAACTAGCAACTTTTGAACTCTAAATAATACTTTCTACCAGCATGCAAAATTTGCATGCACTTACCATAACTCCAAAATATTAGAAAGGAGAATGGATCAAGAGATTACAAAGAAAATAACAAAAAATAAAAGGGATTGAAAATGTGCTAGACAATTAAACACCTATGATATATGTATGTATGTATGTATACAGTTAGCTTTGTAGCTTTGGCGGTTAGGATGAGAGTGCAAGCTCAGCCCATGCTAAAGACGATGCCTTGAGCTCTGCAGTTATGGATGTGTCAATGTCCCTCTCCAGCATAGCACACAAATCTCTCATCGAAGTCCTGCTACTCGAACTTGGGTGGATACAGAGATTGACCACTTCAGAAATCACTTTGAGGTCTTCGTATCTGAAATGTTTCAACTCGGGATCTACAACATATGGCAATACCTCTGGCAATTCAAGGAATTCTTTGGCCTGCCATATCAGAGTCAACTTGAGATTCCATAAAGCACGAGTCCAGGTTCCACAGAGAGAGTTATCATTATACAAAAGGCATAATACACAAGCAGACACTCAAACTTGGCCTAAGCTAGCAAGTAAGCACTCCCAACTTTGAGAGTGCACATCTAAACAACTCAACTCGTCTAGACGTGCACTCTCAAAGTTGGAGTACTTATTTGCCATCTGAGGCCAAGTTTGAGTGTGTATTTATGTACTATGCCTATACAAAAACTTCATGAAAAGAAATGCTTACCCAATCTACTAAGCACCCTTTGTCTTTGCAATATGGAGGTCTTCCGCTGATTATTTCGAGCAGTAGTACTCCAAATGCATAGATGTTACCCTGCATGTCAAGATGACGGCTCTGTAGAGAATTTGGAAGGACACACATTGCTCCTTCACTACTGATAGCACCGGAATTCTTTTCTGATCTGGCAAATGTTGTTTTCCAACTTTCAAAATCAACAAGCTGCACCAGATAAATTAAACTTTGAGAGAAAAGGGTATGGAAAATCAGCTTTTTATTGCTCGGGTTAAAAAGCACAAAGGGTTTGAGCTTGAAGGAAACCAAAATGGAAAAATGTAAGCCCAAATTGTTTGTAAGGAAACTCGGCGAGTTCAAAGACAAAATGAGCAGAAACCGTGGAGAGTAAACTAAAATTGTCTTATGGATGAGCACAATTGACAGTAAGATTAACCAGAAAGTTTAACAGCGAATTGATTTTGCAGCAGTGATTCAGAAACCTTTCGCTTACCTTGGGAGAAAAATCTTCTGTGAGATATACAGCATTTGAATTCAGTTCTGATATAGTGAATGGCGGGTCAAGTTCTGAATGGAGATATTTCAGTCCTTTAGCGATGCCAATAACTATTGTCATTCGCCGCGTCCAAGAAAGTTGGCATCCTTCTCCATCTGTGATAAGTTCAAAGAGTTTGGATTTCAGCCTCTAAAACATACAGTAGCAAATGTATAAAAAATAGTTTTTTCCACTCACAATGGAGGTGTTCATATAAAGTCCCGTTAGATGCATACTCGAACACCAACATCCTTGTGAAGGGACTGCTCTCTCTGCAGTAACCTAGAAGTTTTGCAGTGTTCTCGTGATTTATTCTGGCCAATTCTGCTACCTGAGTTTGTAAGCCATACAAGTTAGAGCATTGCAGCAAAGATGAAATTTTTATTGGGCACGAGAGCTCAGCAGTAGCCATGTATTTTAAGGAGAGAACAGGCTTCACCTCTTTCTGAAAATAATGCTCTAGATAGGTGGTCCACTGCTCTTCTTTGACACAGATGGAAATTACAGCTAATTCAGGTCCGCCTTTCACAGTTCCTTTATAGACCAAGCTGTCTGGTGAGGATCCAATAATGTTGCTGAAATCTTCACAAGCTACCTCAAGTTCTTGTCTGCTATATCTTTCAACGTCCTTTAGCATCTCAGTATCTGACAAAGAAACATTTGTTACTAATAGAAATGTGAATTATAATTAATGCTTCTGAACTTGTGATCCTATACCCTGTGTGATCCCACAAGTGGGGTTTGGGGAAGGTGAGGTGTATGCAGACCTTAAACCTACCTTTGTGGAGGTAGAGAAGTTGTTTTTCAAAACAGGTTTTGAAAAATAAAAGAGTAAGGAAGCTATTGTGAAAATATCATAAAAAAAGAAAAAGGCATAATACATTAATGTGCCCTTTAACTTGGCCTCATTTCACATTTATGTCCGCCAACTTTGGGTATGCACAAATAGACACTTAAACTTGTATAAAGTTGAACAAATAAATACACACGTCCTACGTGGCATCCTACATGGCAATTTGCGTCCTACGTGGTGTCCTATTTGTAGTACTAAAGTGAAGAATCAGATCCTATATGAGAAAGAATTAAGGGTGTGTTCGGTATGGAGGTAGGGAAAACAAGTTCCACAAGTGGTATTTCACATCAATTGTGTCCTCCCCACCCTCCAACACACCTCATCTTCACCCCCACCCCGTAAGCCCCATCCCCACCATTTGGGACCCCTACCCCTACCCCCACCTCCCATAGTATTTGTCTAGATTATATACAAATCCTATTAGGGTGATGTTTTTAACTTACATACCGAACACAAGAAAATAAGTAAGGAATCCACATATTTTCTGGAAAATGTTTTCCAAGGAAACCATTTTTCCTTCATACCGAACACACCCTAAGTCAATACAGAATCAAGTAATACAAATGTTTAAAGGCAATTCTTAACTGTAATCCCCCAACTGAAATTGCATGGTACTCACCTACATAAACTGCCATATGGTCTTTCAAATGGTCTTTCATACTTGCTGATTTCTTCCAAGGGATGATAATAGAAGATTCGTTCTTACACTTCTGAATGGCAGCCAAAATAGCCACAAGGAAGAGAGAACCTGCAATAACTCCAGTTACCACTTCTAACACAAAAAGCCAGGTAGGTTTTGAAGCAGACTTATGTTTGGCTCTTCCTTCAACAGTCCGGTGCTTATTATTGCTCTGCGCTGGATTGCTTTTGGCAGGTGGAGTGCCTCCTATAATGCAAAAGTTACAACAATCAATTCAATTATTTTAAAGTTGATCTGTTCAACTGCGACTGTTAGTGAAATGGGCGAACTTAGTCGCAGAAGCCTCTTTAGGATATACAATCAAAAGTAAGCATGACCAGCTTGCATTTTCGTACACTAATGTATGCATAAAAGATTCAAACGCTTGGTTAATGATTCTGCTAAAGTGTAAGAGTTGTCTAGCAGATTACACATACCACATAAAGCAGTAGAACGCTGCCTGGGATCTTTTGCTTGAAGGCAATTTCCTTGAAAGCTAGTTCTATAGAAAGAACAAAATAATAGGCACTCAGAAATTGAAATAAAGAGTATAAAAAATGCTTGTGGATCGGAATTAAGAACTATACTTTGAAAGGTACTCCAGACACTTCGGTATGCTACCAAAGAAGAAGTTGAAGGAGAAATCAGCAACTCTCAGTTGAGATAAACGACAAAGACCAGTAGGCTTGGCACCAGAGGCATGCCTAAACAAAAATAAAAGACGATTACTAAGAAACCAACTGTGAGATAAAACTTAAAAGGGATCTATGTAGAACAATTACAAGTTCAAGCAAGCATAGGAGGCTTTTTACTGATTTTTCCAGAAACTATACAGAATATTGCCGATAACGTCAGTGATGACTTTTGAATATACATGTTGAACCCTTTAAGATTTCATTACACTCGGTAATCGTGTGAAGTTTCTAGGAGAACAACAAATGTATTAAATTAAGTTCAAGTACAACAGACATACATGTCAACAGAAGTCCAGCACTATCAATCAAGACGACAGAAAGATTAAACATTAGCCATAATTTAAGACTCTGTAAATGTCCAGACAAACTGCAGCCAAAAATGTTGCAGCAAATCATATGCTAATTGAGATACTATGGGCACCTTAGAAGATTAAAAAGATATATAAATTTAATCAAGCTTCAAATATTCCAAAAATTTTGAATGTATAATGCTCTTAAGTCCTGGAAACATTACATTTTATAGAGAATCATTTAGTAAGGGTATAGTTAACGGCTTAAACAAAAGATTTCAAGCTTCAGATATCCACCCCCTCCCCCAAAAAGACGAAAAAAGGCAGCTTCATAGTGTACAAGATTGAAAAATCAAATGAACCACGTCTCTAAAGCATTTGCAACAGTAAATCTTCTACCAACGTGATAATGTAAAACCTACATAACAGCAAATCCAAAGATTAAAAATGCATAGAATTGAAGAAATAGCACTGTCCATATTCGACTTACATCCCATACGCACTGGATGTAAAATTTGAGCCATTACTGGCAGGCAGTGGTCCTTTGAGCTTATTTCTGTCCAGGCGAAGTTCCTGAAGGTATATCAATTTACCAAGCTCAGAGGGCAATTTACCTGTTAATCCATTGGATTGAAGGTTTCTGCAGAGACATAACAAAACTAGATGAGATAAGGAAGCTTCATGCAAGTCAAAAAGGAAAGTACACATACAACAACGAACACTCAAATTGCACTAACATCTTTATAATGTTTGACAAATTGCCAAGCTCGAGAGGAATTGGTCCTGCGAGCTGGTTAGAACCCAAATCCAAGACCTTTAAATTTTTCAACAAGCCAATCTCCTTCGGTATTGTACCAATCAGTACATTTCCATGCAATATCCTGCATATCACCAATACATAGCATTAAGCTTTTACCAAACCTTTTATGCACCGGAGTTACAAGTATAAGTTTTTCATGGAAGGAATAGCTTACAGTTCTTGCAAAGAAGAAATCAAATGCAAGTTCGGCGAAAGAAAACCCTTCAAAGAAGCACCAGTAATGTTACTGCAAAATTACATAGACAGGAGACGTTGTAAACTCATTAGTAAAGGCTCAGTTGTGCTACTAACATGTATCGAAAAGTAATGAAATAAGTTGCATCCAATTGAGAAAAATCAATCCAACAAACAGATAGAAAGAAAACAAAAATGCCATATGCAGAAGGCACTTCTCTCACATTTTTATGACATGATCTCGTGCCGTTGAGCAAAAAATTCCAGACCATCCACAAGGATCTGAATCTAAGGTATTCCAATTTGAGAATACCAGATGTGGATCTTCATATATAGCTTCCCTGAAGTTATTTAGAGCATGAACTGTGCAAATCCAAATTACTCCCCAGTCAGAATACTGATATCAGTTATGAATTATCAACTACCAACTACTTTGCATTAGCATTTCATCAATACAGTATCTCAACGCAAAAAAAAATCCAAGATCTTTACTAAACAACATCATATAAATTTTTCTTTTCTTTCATCAAAGCGACAAATGGTTGAATTTTAATGGATCGGGGCAACAAGGACACTCCACTCTACCACTTACAATACCACATCACATATTTATAAACAACCTCATATAACTTTTTTTTCTTGCTGCTAATCAAATCAACAAATGGCTAAATCTCAGTGGATCAGAAAAGCGAAACCACTCTGCAACTTACAATACCCAATAGTGTAGTATTTAAAAACGTCATATACTTTATTTTTTACTTTCTACTAATTAGAACAACAAATGGCTGAATCTTAGTGGATCAGGTAAGCAAGACCACTCAGCCACTTACAATACCCGTCAACATATTTACAAAACAACATCACATAACTCCCTACATTATCCTAAATCACACAAATTAAACTTCACAAATCAAGATCTAAGTAACATAACAAGTTTATGAAATTGATAAGCATATACCTTCATTTGATGGAAAAGCATCACATTTCAGAAAAACCAGTCCAACAGTCACTAAAACTCCAAATAAAACCCAATTTCTCATTTTTCCTCTTCTTGTAATCATTTCCCATAAACAACAAAAAAGAGCAATGCTTTACAAAAACCGAAAACTGAAAGAACCCATCATTAGAATTACTTAAAAATAACAGAAGTTGGAGAAATGGGTCAATCAAGAAACAGAAAAATGAGTTCTTGATTTTGTTTTTAGTAACAAAATGAGAGAAAGCTTGAGGATGAATCCAAGATTGTAGAAAATGTAACAACCCCAAGTATGGAAAAGTTCAAATTAAGAGAATGAAGTTGAAAGATACCTCTTATAACTAGAAAGTAGTAGTAGTAAAAGAAGAAGACTTGAGTTCAAAGAGAGTTTTGGTGACAAAAACAGAGACAGTTCATTAGAAGAATTGATAAAGATTTTTCTATTAGAGGAAATGGGAGAAAATGGAAGTAAAAAAAGAGAAATTTAAGTGCAAATGCAGATTCAGAGAAGTGAAAAAAAAATGTACAGAGAGAGACAGAGCGGCGGGGAAAAGGAAGTGGAAAAGAACAAGGGGGTATGTGGGTCGTGAAATGTGGTGAATTGACTTCAATTTGTTTTTGGTTGATTCAGCCCACGTCAAGCATTTGGTCATGTTTTATCGTAAAATAAAAAATATTTTGAATTGATATTATATTCATTATTGCGTCAGAAAGTTTCATATTGAGGGTAAATCGCTCCCTTACAAAGATCACTTTATATTTAAGGGAGTTCAAATATGAGACCTCTTGATTAAGGATGAAAGAGTATATATCACTCAACCACAATTCTGATTGGTTGATCATAAATATATATAAATATAAATTGGGGTTGTTTATAATCCCATTTTTTATATGTAATTTAGAGTGAAAAAAATTGGTTGCTTTTTTCAAATTTTTGAAAATTTCAATATCTAACTTCAAGTTGAATTTCATAAATTTATGGTCAAACATGTATTTTTGAGTTCAACTTCGAAAAAAATTCATGGTCAAGCGCGATCTTAAATTTTGTGGTATTTTTCTTTTTCAGTTTTCATTTCTGTCTTGTATTCCACATTGAAGTTTGACTAATTCAAATGTGTATTGAGTAGGATTCAATCAGGGTAATGCTCCCCTAACATATATTTTTTTGAGGTATAAATGACATTCAAGCTAATAAGAAGCTCTATTGCCAACTATATCAAAAAAATTGCAAGATTTATACTCATGACTCAAAATTAAAATCTTTGATTAAAGGAGGAACAGACCAGTATCATTTGCTACATTTTTTTGTTTGTCAAAGGGTATTTTCTTTCCTGAAAAAAAAAAATGAGCATAAAAAGTCCACCTTTTACCATATAGCTGCTAGGGCATTTTTCCATGGCTATGAATCTATAACCTCCAAATATTTAGTAGGCGTTTGATCATAAGAATTTAATATTTTATTCAAATTTTTGAAATAGAATTAAAGATGAAGTTCTCTATTTGATTATATATTTCGTAAAATAGAAAAGATGACAATTTATAAAAATTATGAAAATGAGGTGGAAAACAAGTTATAGTATTAAGCTATTTTTCAAATTTGAAATCTAACTTTAAATTACATTAAACAATTTCATGACCAACATTAATTTTCAAGTACAATGAAAAATAATTTGAAATAATAAATAATTTTTATGGTCAAACATGCAAAAATGCAGTGAAAAAAAACAATATGGACCATGTACCTACTTAGACATCATTATTGGAAAGTTGAAAAGAATAAAACAAAAAAAGACATAAATCATTTTCATATTTATATACCTCTAAAATAATAATAATGGGAAGAAAAAAAAAAACTTACTTTGTTCAAAATACTATTTATTGTTTGACTATGTTATAGTAACATTGTATAGAATGTAGAGATTGAGGATTGCCATATTTTTATTTTTTAATATAAATGAATTAAGGGTAAATTAAATAGTAGTTGGGACAGAAGATTGTGTATTTTTTTTATTAATAAAACATGGAGGGTCCTCCTTGACAGTGCTTATAAGCAAAACAATACCAAAAAAAGTGACATTTCTATAACAAAAAAGTAGATTATTTTTTAAGTTAGAAGAAACTTATTAATCCATGTTTACACTAAATTTAAAAGACTTAAATTTTAAGGGTAAAAAATAAAATGAGATCATATGAATTATTTAATTATGATTAATTATAAAAAGATTGAAAATAAAAATTTATTCATTTTTTTAAATATTGTCTCCATTATAAGTTATCAAAATAAGAAAGAAAAAAAAGTGTTACATCTGTTTTAATTTATTTATCATATTTTCCTTTTTAGTTCATTTAAAAAGGAATTTTTTTAAAATTTTATGACAATTCTTTAATTTTAGTTTTCCACATTACATGTTTAAATTCATAAAATTAAAAGACATTTTGATACATTTGACATATTTTTAATTTACGATAAAAAAAAAACTAAAATTCCATCTTAAGTCTTAGGTTATTTCCCTATTTGACTTGGAAACAATTGAAAGGAATAGGAAGCATTTTGGTCTTTCATTTTTGGCACTCATAAAAGACAAATATGTTGCTGGTAGATATTATATCTTTATCAAATTATGCATGAGGAGAATGAGACAAAGTTGGTCTAAAATACCCAAAAATATTACATGTAATTTATGTAATTGTTATGAATAATTAAATTTTTATACTTTTGTTTTACTTTGATTAAGATTGTACCGGTGAGTATGGTAATTTTTTTAATTAAATAAAATAATATATTTATGTTTCTTGATTCTAATTTTTTCTTCTTATATGCAATTATTTCTCTTTCGGGTTTTTTATGATCTCACTTTTAAATTTGAATTTAATTTTTTTAAATTAACTATTTAATTTTTTGTGTTTGTATTATTCATCAGAAATCAAGTACATTTATGTATCATCTTTTCTAACCGAGAAATCATCAAAAGACACAAGTGACATATGGTTAGAAACTTGATGGATAATATATTCATTTTTCTACTTTAGTATATACTTGATGATCATGTTTTTGCTTACGAAAAAATTTAAAATTGTGGTGTGTGTTCTTATTATTAGATAAAAAATCAAGTGATTCTTTCATGCTCATTGAGCTACCTCTAACCATTAGAACATACAATTGATTGAATCGGACGATAGCTTTACGATGGACATGAGTTTATTAGTGTCACACTTCTCCATGTCTCTTTTTATTTATGAGAATTTCTATCTTTTTCTAATTTTGGGCCACTTATAGTTTGTCTTTTCCCCATCTATAACATTTTATTATTTCCACCCACCCCATGTTTTTGGGACATGATGTCTTGTGTGGGGATGTTTGAATTTCAAACCACACTTTTGCTTTTATATTTTAATAAATAATAATGAGAATTATATTATCACTTTTTTTATATAAAAAAGAAGAAGATAAAATACTTCAACTACCCTCTTAAATTAGCTAATATATTTTATTTAAACACTTAAATTATAATTTATTTTAATTAAATACTTGAAGATCATAAAGTATTTTTATACGATATTTTTAATTCAAATTTTAGAATTTTGTTTACATATATTCTTAACTGCAGATAGATTCCTATTATAAATGGCAAGTAAAATGTCACGATCGTTCCTTCATCACCCCAAATAAAAACAAAAAAAGGATTGGACAATATGATAAAATATTTGAATATCATAAAGTGTTTCTATCAGATATTTTCAACTCAAATTTCAAATTTTTCTCTACGTATATTCCTAACTGGAGATAAGCTCCTAATATAAATGGTAAGTGAAATGTCACAACCTTTTTCTCTTACCACCCAAATAAGAACAAAAAAAATATGGTTGGGCAGTATTAGAGCTGTCAATATGGGCTAACCCACCCCATCCGGGCTGATCCATACAGGCTTTGACATTTTACGGATCAGGCCGGGCTAGCTCATTTTTTGTGTGGGCCAGAAAACGATCGGCCCCAGCCCATAAGTACGTGGGCTATAGGCTTGCCGGGCCAACCCACTTTTTTAAAAATTATATTTTTTTTATAATTATTAAAATAAATTATAATTATAATTTTAAAATATTATCATAAATATCCACAAAAACAATATTACATGGTGTTAATGCTACTACTTGTTAATCAAATCCACAAATAAAATTATCTTTATAATAATATTTATTAAGGTTTTTCAAATAAATATAAATATCTAAATAGGAATATTAACATAATTGTTTTGTCACATTAAAACACAAAAAATGTGACAATATTCCAACCATAAAAAAGTTAAAAATAAACTCCTTAAAAAAAATCATGAAACTTATGGCGTATCTAACACATCATGAAATCTATGGCGTATCCAACACTTCATGATCATCTTCATCAAGCTAGCATATCTGAATCAGCTTGTGGCAAGATTGTCTTAATATCTTTATTTTCATCTGCAATTTATATGCGGTTTCAATTAGTTAAATATTAAATAGATTTTGAGTTTGGACTCTCTTTAATTTTAATTTTTAATATTATATTATATTATATTTTTTTTATTTGGCCCACGGGCCGGCCCTACCTATATTTCTCAAGCCCCACAAATCAGCAGACTTATTCAAGCCGGGCTAAAAAGCCCTTTTCTTAAATGGACTCCAAAAATCTTAGCCCAGCCCTACTAAATCCCGGATTAGGCCAGGCTGGCCCAACGGGCCTAGCCCATTGTAATGACCCATAAAATCAGTTTTGAATTTTTATTATAAAATTACCGTTTTACTCATCTCGATAGTTATCCCGAGTCAGTTTTGATCAATTTGAGAAGTTGGTTTGAAAAATTTTGGGTTATTTGTTAATACGATTGTTTAGTTGACGGGTGAATTTAAATAATTAATTTCAGTTGGTGATTAATGGGCCAAGTGGTATAGTATAATTAATACCACTTAACCCATGTAAAATAATAAAATCATAAGTAAATAAAAGGGAGATTATTTCTTTTAGTCACAACAAGAAAGAGAGAAACCCTATGACGACGCTCAATTTCAAAGGAGGAAGCGAGAGTGCCTTTAGGTAAAAATCTATCTAATTAGTCTTTCTTATTCGTATACATTAGTGTACAGGGTATGAATACTAATCATAACTAAATGGACTGGTAAAAAAAATGAGATGATCCTTGTTTCTGATGATACAAATTTAAGTCGGCTGAAAATTTGGTCTATACAATTCTTACTAAGCGTAAGTTATTGTGGTTTGTGCAAAACAATTGATAAGTAGTAGTGGGTCTTCATTGTTTATGATATTGAATAAATAAGTGCTAAGGGCGGCCGACGGGAAATCAAAAGAATTCACGTTCTAGTAATTGTTAAACTTTGTTGTTCCATTTATTTATTGTTGGGGTTAATTAGTAATGATTGAATATGCATTATGCCATGTACATATGTATGCAAAGAATGGCCGCCATGATGTAGCAGTGATGGTTAAGAAACCAATCTGTGGCAAT